AATGCATGACATTAATGTTTTATTAATGCAGTTACAAATGCATTAATACTGTTTTGATATTTTAAACAAAATGTTGAATACTGATATTTGAAATTATTTTAAAAAATGAAAAGATACTTTAAATGTGAAATTAAAACCGCCAGTAGGTGGCAGCAAGTCACTTAAGTGAGTTGCCCGGGCGATTGCGATTGAACCGAATCATTTAAACTGTTGATTCTTTCAGAAACAAAACGTAAGTCTCTTGATATTAACTTATTGTTTATTAAACTGTTGTATAAAATAAATATCACATTTGTAACCATGCTGATTTAAGAAACGGCACTCTTTGTGTGATATTGATTAACTATATGAATTTATATAAATATATACATTTTCTGCCTCCATATCTTGAATTGTGATCATTCTTAATGCATATTAATAGACTGAATCATGCAGTGAAAGAACCACTCTAAAAGTTTTGGTCTAACCAGACTTCATCTCGTCACGTATGCACACCTCTGTAGGTGTTTTGTTTAGCTTTTGCAATATACTCGATAATGTCATGATGTCTCACGAGTTCAGTATTTGCGTTAAACCTGCGCAGATTTGGCCTGCATGAACTTCCCCAAGAAATTAATGAGTGAACATAATTTACGAAAAGTAACCCGCCAAATTGGCTAGTGATTTGACAGCGTTACCCGCCACAGCTGATTTTTACCCGCATTTGGCGGGTGTTAATTTCAAACCCTGTTTGTGATCAGTTCTTAATTAGGAATACAATCTAAATGTAATGATCACTTGAAATTGGAGTCAGATTAAACACGGAGCAAGACTAAAATTTCAACTAAATGCTGATAAATTAAGTGAACTTTGCAGAAGCGCAAGTAAAAGACCTACACGCATTATACCCTTGCCCACGCCATTGGATTCCATTGTTGGGCCGATTGAGTGGGCCTTACAAAATCACTATCAACAAAATCTATACATGTATTCTGCATAAATTGTTAAGTTTAAATATAACATTTAATTGTAGAAATATTAAAATATTGCAAAAATCAAATGAGCTACGTTTTTTAAATAAGAAACTACAACCGCTAGGCCTAGTAGGTGGCAGCAAGTGACTGTCTTAATGAGTGAGTTGAATCCTTAAAGGCGTCATATGATGCGATTTCAATTTTTCCTTTCTCTTTGGACTGTTACAAGCTCTTGGTGCATAAAGAAGATCTGTAAAGTTGCAAAGACTAAAGTCTCAAATCCAAAGAGATATTCTTTATAAAAGTTAAGAGTCAGCCAAGCCTACATAAAACGGCTCGTTCTAACACGCCCCAACATACCTATGTCGCTCTGTGGGAAGATTTGCATAACACCGCCCAAATGTTCACGCAAAGAAAGAAGGGTGTAACTTTTATTCTCGCTGTAGTTTTGTTGTTTCCGCTGCCATGTCGTAAAGACGCTGTGTGCTTCGTTGGAAAAGCTAAACTACTTTGTTTGGTCTTCCAAAAGATGCCTGGAGCTGATCCGTGCTGGTTGCTGAGGAAATACTACAGACGAACCGGAGTCCAGCCCGGAGTCGTCACATGTCCTTCCGGGCGCTCCTTCGTCGAAATCGCCGGCCGTGCTGTTCTCAAGCCCGCGCCTCTGCTCACTCTAACCCTCCCGCTGTTCCTCACTTTATCCCCCGGCCTCGGCTCACTGACAAAATACTGTTCTTTTTAGCAGCATCATATGACCCCTTTAAATCAACCATTAAATCAATTTAACATTTAACTTTGCAAACCTGATTGAATCATTTACTGCTCCATGTAACACCGAGGAACAAAACAGTGTTGCTCAGAGATGCAGCAGTTCTGCTGTTTGTTCTATTTTCTTTCTGACTGAACAAAATTGAATTTTGTGTCTGAAAGTTACTCAGTAACTTGTTGTTTATTGTACATTTGTGATCGTGCAGATATTCGGAAAAACAGGACTCTAGTTTGTGTGATAGGCTAAC